TGGACTCTGTGGGAGAAGGCGAGGGTGGGATGTTTCAAGAGAACAGCATCGAAACATGTATATTATCTAGGGTGAAACAGATCACCAGCCCAGGTTGGATGCATGAGACAAGTGCTCAGACCTGGTGCACTGGGAAGACCCAGAGGGATGGGGTGGAGAGGGAGGTGGGAGGGGGGATCGGGATGGGTAATACAAGTAAATCCATGGCTAATTCATTTCAACATATGACAAAACCACTGCAATGTTGTAAAGTAATTAGCCTCCAACTAATAAAAATAAATGAAAAAAAAAAAAGGTGGCAATTGTTAAACTCTATTTACTTTTCAATATTACTGATAAGAGTCCATGATATTCTTACTGAGTGTCATTAAATATTTGCGTATCATTTATCCTTGTATTTTTTTCATAAATGGGTACAGAGTTTTGTGAAAGAATTGCTAGGAACCCATTGAGATGATCATATTTTTATTTTTTATAGTACGTTAATGTAGAATGTTACATTGATTGATTTGCATATATTGAAGAACCATTGAATCCCTAGGGTGATTCCTGCTTAAATACAATGTATGAACCTTTTATTGCACTGTTGGTTTCTATTATATCTGTGAGTATTTTGTTGAGGATGTTTCTGAATATGATGATCAATGAGGCATGTACTTAGTCACTTATACGAATCTGACAATTTGAAATCCAAGGAGCATCTGGAATGGACTCAGTCTCTGTTTAGAAACCTTTTGTATATCAGCTATATCTGGAATCTCCCACCCTGGTAACATTTGCTCCTTTCCTGGGTGAGATGAATCACTTGCAGAGACTCCGTCTCTCCCACGCCCACGTGTCTGCCTTCAAGAAGCAGGAGCATGATCACTTGGTGCACGTTACCTCCCAGTTCCGCAGGCTGGGCCACCTCCGGGATCTCCATCTGGAGTCTCCTTCCTTCCTTGAATGCTGCCTGGACCAGATGCTCAGGTGAATGTGGGCCGCTGGCTAGGTAAGAGTAAACACAACATTGGAACATCCAAAGCAGCATCTCTCACGTTGCTCTCTCCTGAGGTGCGGTGGCCTACAACCAGGCAAATCAAGGGAGGGGCTTAAATGGACCGAGTGGCGCCTGTGAGGAGGCAGAGAGTAGGATGTGGGATGTGCGCATCCCAGAGTTGAGAATTTCCTCCTACCTTGGAGGCATCTATGTGAAAATACTCAAAATAGGGAAGTGAGCAGGACACTGAATTGGGGAAGCGACATCAGATCAGAGCATCCCTGAAGAGAAGCTCTGTGCGCCCAAGGTCGCTGCCCTCGGTGAACCTGTTGTCTATAAGAGACGGTTTGGGGCTCAAAAGTTGGCTCCTTATGCACATCTCCCTAGAGCCTCACCTGGCCAGAGATGTAGGATCTGGAGCTCCACCTCCGGCTGAAGGAAGCCTTACCCGAAACCACTGTTAGATCTCCTCTCCCCACACTACTATTCAGTGATGTCCACACTTGAAGGAGATGCTCTATGGCTCCCCTCACAGCATGTTCTTGGGATTCCGTGGTCTTCACTCATCCTCAGAAGGAGGTGGAGTGTGTTGTGCTCCTCTTCACAGATGAGGAGAGAGTGTCTTTGAGACCCTGTGAAGGGACTCGGTGCCACAGGGAGGCTGACAGTCCTCAGACGAGAATGAGGCGGGGCGAATCAGCGTGTTGACCCTCAGTGGATGGTCAGACTAATGTTCGTCTTTGTAGGGACCTTTTGTCTATCAGGTGTGTGCTGCCTGGCACCCGGTTCCCAAGAGCTAATAGTTTGGTCTCTCCCCAGGTGCCTGAAGTCCCCCTTGGACAGCCTGTCAATAAGCAAGTGCGGGCTTACAGAATCAGACTTGACCCACCTGTGCCAGAGCCCAGACATCAGTCAGCCAAAGAGCCTGGACCTGAGCGGTGTCACCATGACTGACTTTCGGCCTGAGCTCCTCCAAGTTCTGCTGGAGAAAGTCGCAGCCACCATGCAGGAACTGGACTTCGATGTGTGTGGGATCACGGACTCCCAGCTGGAGGCCTTCCTGCCTGCCCTGAGCCGCTGCTCCCAGCTCAGGTCCTTCAGCCTGTGTGGGAACGTCCTGTCCACGGCCGGCGTGGAGAAGCTGCTGCGACACACCACTGTGCTGCCCTGCTTAAGGCAAGAGCGTTATCCTGCCCCTCAGGAGACTTACAGACCTCGGGGTGTTCTCCTGGAAGCGAGACTTGCCCAGCTTCGGGCTCAGCTGTTGGAGATTCTGAGGGACTTGGGACGTCCCAGGATCATCTGGATTAGCCTCAGCCCCTGTCCTCGCTGTGGGGAGGCTGGATGCCATCACAAGGAGCCCGTTATATACAGCTGTCCTGCCCCCGCCTAGGGGGTTGCCTCGATCAGAAGCTTTCTGCTGTGCACCTTGAAACGGAAATCCAGAACTTGGGGACATCATGAAGGAAACAACGACCCAGGGTTTCAGCTATCTGTTCAAGGCAAATGGGAAAAGGAACCGTGTTAGGAGGGCAGCGGGTGGCGGTGGTGCTGGATCAAGATTGCAGGTGGGAATGATAGACTCTGGGAGGGGATGGGACTTTCATGCACATGTGCTTTTAGAATCTGACATGAACCTGCGTGGGTCCGCGTGGGAGACCCACGTGTCAGAGTTACCCCTGGGGAAAAACTTGGAAAGAAACTGTCATGAAATATCAAATGACATCCCTCATATGTGGAATCTAGTAGGAAATGACACAAGTGAACTTACTTGCAGAAACAGAAAGACTCACGACTTAGAAAATGAACTCCTGGTTGGTGTGTGTGCATGGGGGTAGGGGCGTGCGGTGTTGGTGGGGTTCCGGGGGGAATGGTTGGGCCTTGAGGGAAGTCTCGTGCACACCACTGTGTTTATAGTGGATAACCAGTGGGAACCTATCATATAGTTCATGGAGCTCTGCTCAAATTTCTCTGCCAGCCGGCATTGGAGGGCTGTTCCGTGGAGGATGGATACGTGACATGTGTGTACTGAATCCCTTGGCTGTTCACCTGAAACTGGCAACACTCTGCACTGGCTCTGTCCCAAGAAAAAAGGTTTTTGGTGTTAAACAAACAGATTGTTGAAACTGAGAACTTCTCAAGAATGAGGAGATCCTCCAGATTACCAAACACCAGCGAAATCTCAAATGAGCGTGGATGAATGCATAGATATTACTTATTTACTACATTGTACAGTAAGAAAATCATAGCAACTTGTAAAGCAAATCTACCACAATAAAAATGAATTCCATCAGAGAAAGAAACCCCCATGGAAAGTCGACTGCTGTCCTCCATGACATACTATTCTGTGTTCAGTTCAAGCCTCAATTACCTCAAGTTACTTATTAAAGAAGAAAAAAATGGCAGACTATTTTCCATGATGCCGAACCTGACCATTCCCATCATTTCTTTATTCTGTCTGGAACATCTCCTGTGTGTTTGTGTGCATATGTGTGTGTCCATGTGTGTGTGTGTGTGCCCTCCCGAGCGTGAGCCAGGTTATGTGGGCATGTGTTGTCTTTCACAATTTCTACCCCGCCAGATTCCTGTCTATGGAATTCCCCAGGGTAGGACACTTTAGTGGGTTGCCACTCCCTTCTCCACGTTATCTTCCCAACCCAGGGATGCAACCCAGGGTTGCCTGCCTCGTGGCAGGCAGATTCTTTCCCAGCTGAGCCACAAGGGAAGCATGACTGTCTCTCTCTCCATTCTAATGGTAGAATTCAGTCAGTGCCTTTGAAGTGAATCATGAATGGATAAAGCCATCCAGCCATTTCATCTTCTGACACTCTCTTCTCCTTCTGCCCTCAGTCTTTCCCATCATCAGGGACTTTTCCAATGAGTCAGCTGTAAGGATCAGATGACCAAAATATTGGAGTTTCAATTTCAGCATCAGTCCTTCCAACAAATATTCAGGATTGATTTTCACTAAGATTAACTGGCTTGATTTTCTTGCTTTCCAAGGGACTCTCAGGAGTCTTATCCAGCACCACAGTTCAAATGCATCAATGTTGATTTCCTGCCTTCTTTATGGTCCAGCTCTCACAATAGTACATGACCACTGGGAAGACCATAGCCTTGAGTATGTGGACATCTGTGGGCAGAGGAATGCCTCTCCTTTTTAAGCACTGTCTAGGTTTGTCATAACTTTCCTGCCAAGACGCAAACATCTTCTGATTTCATGACTGTAGTCACCATCTGAAGTGATTTTAGAGCCCAGGAAGAGGAAATCTGTCACTACCTCCAGCTTTTCCCCTCTATTTGCTGGTCAGTGTTCCACACTCACCTGAGCATCTGGTCCAGGCAACCTTCAAGGTACAAGGGGGATTCCAGATGGAGATCATGGAGGTGGTGCAGCCTCAGGAACTGAAAAGTAATTTTGACAGTGTGCTGCTCATTCCACTCCTCAGAATCAGGCAGGTGGGTGTGGGAGACAAACAGTTTCTGCACATTGCTCATCTGGTCCATGAGAAGAGCAATCATGGCCAGAGTGGACAGATGCCAGGTGCAATTCACATGTAACTCCTGGATACAGTCCAGTTGCACCATGCTCAGGACCTTCATAATATTATCCATGGGAAATGAAACCATTTTCAACTTCTTACAGCACAGGTGTATGAAAGGGTCTCTCTGCTCTACCCACTTTAGGAGGTAAGTGAGGAATTCACTCATGGTTCTTTCCTTGAGGTGAAGTTCTGTGAACACCTCGAAGGGAACCAAGGGCTTCCTGATCCTTGACCCATCCTCAGCCATTGGTGCCATTGATGAGCTTGAGGACACATGAACACTAGATCCAGACCACATTCTCCAGAAGTCCTGGCCAGTATTCCTTAAATCCAGCACACGCAATTTGCACTTCCTGTGGGGAATCAGCAGATTGGCAGCTATGGTTTTTAGATCCACACAAAATTAGGCAGCACTCTGACTTCACACCTCAGCTTTTACTTCACATTCCTGATATCACCTTCTTCCTTGCCCTCTTCTTCCCTCTCTGGCTCACATCCCTCCATCTCCTTTCCCTTGTCATTTTTCCTAGCTTTTTACTCTAGTGCCCTAGGCATCCCTGAGCGGAGGCTGGGGCGTGTACTTTTACATTTCCTTGCATCTTAGGCACACCTGCACTGCTGGAAGACATCCAGCAAAGTGAACTCAGCAATGATGAAGTCTCTGTTTCTTCCCCCATCATCAGAAGCCACTGGTCCATCCATTTGTCATTTACTCTCCTACTGTCACCCGTGTCTTCAGGATTGCCTACATCCTACCATGTTACCTGCAACTGACTCACCTTGGATAAGCCTTCTGTGTGAGCAGGACATCGAGTCCATCCAGCACTGCTTGTAAGGTTCCCAGGTGAGGTGTCTGCATCAGGATCTGCATCAGGCCCCCCAGAGGCAGGCGGACAAAGGGCCAGGCTTGAACCAAGGCCTTTAAGGTCTTTCTGTGCCTTCCACAGAATGCTTCCATGCAGAGTGGGGGGGAAGAGCTCGATGGGCAGATACTCCAGAGCAGAAATGGCCAAGGCCTCATTGGTTAGTAGGCTCTTCCCTGCCAGGTTCAGGAGTCTCAGGGTGTTCTGGACACTCATCCTGAATCTGCTCCTAAAGGAATCCTGTAAGAACTTGTAGAGAAGGAGGGGTCTTTCTCAGGTAAGCATGGACATACCTTCATCTGTCTCCCCACTCTTCAGAGGAACCAACTCAGAGTGAAAATCTCTGCTCTGGCAGTTGTGGAATAGCCTCAGTTTTGCAGTTTCACTCTGGGCTCAGTGAGGAAAAAGCCATAGCTCTGCCCCATGGGCACCAAAACAAGCATCTCATAAGGACCAAGGAGGAAGAAACCCAACCACTAGCCTACCCATTTCCATTCACTGTTGTGCTCAGTTTATGTTGCCCTGGGAAGTGGATAACAGGAGCCTGAAAGCTGACTGCAATATTTTCAGGGGAAAACCTTTTAGACACTCACTTAGTGTCTTGTGGCTTTACTGGTAAAAAATCTGCTTGCAGTGCAGGAGACCTGAGTTTGATCCCTGGGTTGGGAAGATCCCTTGGAGAAGGAAAGGCTACCTTGGACACGATTGAATGACTTTCACTTTCGGACCTTAAAACTATGGGAATAGAGCATCATGAGATCCACTGCAGTCTCCAACCTCAGCTTCCACAGTTAACAGCCTTGGAAAAAGGAAACAGATACCCCTAAAAGTGAATGCCATTTGCACAAACTATTTTTAATGTCAAGAAATAAAATTCCAAAAACTTAGATGTTTTCATGACATAAAATCTAGTTTGTTAAGATATTTTTAAATGACGTGAAGGAAAGCACAGATCAAGATATTTGGGACTAAGGAAAAACTACACTTAGAGACTAAACGATAGCCTTATTTGTATACATATGAAAAGAAAGAGAGAGGAAAGTCTCCCTGACATCTATTGTTGCTTGCCACCTTACCATCGAAATGAGGGTGTCCTTTGCTGAGGGCTTCCCAGATGGTGCTAGCGATAAAGAACTCACTTGTCAATGAGGAGACATAAGAGACTGAGGTTTGATCCCTGGGTTGGGAAGATCACCTGAAGGAGGGTGTGGCAAGCCACTCCAGTATTCTTGCCTGGAGAATCCCATGGACAGAGATGCCTGGTGAGCTACAGTCCATAGCATCTCAAAGTGTCTGATAGTGACTTAGTTGGAAGTGACTTAGCACACACGTCTTTTGCTGAGGTCTGTAACTTACCAGCTCTGCTGAAGTTGGCAGGGTACTCAGAGGTCAGATCTGGTGGAGAAGACAGGCAGTGGCTCCAGAGGAAGAAGTTTCTGCACCTCTTCTTTGATGCTTCAGGTTTTTATAGGCCTTTCTAATTACCTCTTCCCCAACGACTACCATCCAATCAGAAAATGACGGCTTGGTTAGATTTCTGAATGTCCATCAGGTAAATCTTGATTGGATCTTTGCCTATAATCAGATGAATCAATAGAATCAGATGTCATTCAGAAGGGATACATGGGGGGAGGGGTGTCAAAGACTCAATCATTGATTCATTCTGGGAACATTGACTGGGTTTAACTAATAGGGTCTTTATAGAGCCTTCCCAGGTGGTGCAGTGGTAAAGAATTTGTCAAGCAAGAGATCCCAGACACTCAGGTTCCATTCCTGGGTTGGGAAGTTCTCCTGGAGAAGAAAATGAGAACCCACTCCAGTATTCTTGCCTGGGAAGTCCCAAGGACAATGGAGCCTGGAGGGCTACTCTCCATGAGGTCACAAAGAGTAGGACATGACTAAGCATGGCACACACACTCCCTCCACACAAAGTAGGGTCAGTTATAACCATGCATGTGAGACAGGGAAGCCATTAATGTTTCCTGAGATTGGAAAATTATAACAAAATTCGAAAGCACCATTGTTTTGGAATCTTTCAACAGATCAGTGTAATCAAAATGTCCCACAATTAAAGCAGTTGCAAAAACACCATGGTGTCATTCCCAAAGGAAACAACATAAACTATCTGTATAAAACTGTTACTTAGGTTGTACATCAGAAATAGAGCAGATCATGAGTCTATTAAAGGGAGGAAGGCAAATGCACTGGGGATGGGCTTGGTCTGCTGGGCTTCAGTTCAGTTCAGTTCAATTAAAGGGAAAATTGCCAAAGAACTCAATGTCCCCCATTCTATTGCCATTGGATATCTAAAGCAAATTGGAAAGGTGAGTAAGCTCCATAAGTGGGTGCCTCATGAACTGACAGAAAATTAAAAAATTGTCTTTTTGAAGTGTCTAAAAAATTGTCTTTTTGAAGTGTCTTCTTCTCTTATTCTATGCCACAACAACGAACAATTTCTCAATCAGATGGGAACCTGTGATGGAAAGTGGATTTTATACAATGGCCAACAATGACCAGGTCAGTGGTCAGACCAAGAAGAAGTTCCAAAGCACTCCTCAAAGGCAAACTTGCACCCAAAAAGGTCATGATCACTGTTTGGTGATCTGCTTCCCTTCTGGTCCACTATAGCTTTCTGAATCCTGGGAAAACCATTACATCTAAGAGGTATGCTCAATAAATCAATGAAATGAACTGAAAACTGCAATGATTGCAGCTGGCATTCATCAACAGAATGGGTTTAATTCTTCTCCACAATGACATTTGACTGCAGATCACACAACCAAAGCTTCAAGAATTGAATGTATTGGACTACAAAATTTTGCCTCATCCACCATATTTACCTGGCCTCTCACCAACCAAATACCACTTCTTCAAACATCTTGACAATATTTTTCAGGGAAAATGTTTCCACAACCAGCAGGAGGCAGAAACTGCTTTCTAAGAGTTCATTGAATTCTGAAGCATGGATTTTTTTACACTACAAGAATAAAGAAATTTATTACTCATTGGCAAAAATGTGTTGATTGTAATGGTTCCTATCTTGATTAATAAAGATGTGTTTGAGCCTACATAAAATGATCTGGTGGCTCAAAAGTGAAAGAATCCACCTACAATGTGAGAGACCTGGGTGTGATCCCTGGTTTGGGAAGATCCTCTGGAGAAGGAAATGGCAACCCACTCCAGTATTCTTGCCTGGAGAATCCCCGTGGACAGAGGAGCCTGGCAACTACAGTCCATGGGGTTGCAAAGAGTCAGACACCACTGAGCAACTAAGCACGGCACAGTACATAATGATCTAAAGTTCATGGTTCAAAACAACAATAATGTTTGCACAGACTTAAATAGTTGAGGCCTCCAGACTCTTGAGCACAAGTTCAGGCTTAGTCACTCTGGGGCATGTTCGAATTTCCCAGATTAGAGATTGAACCCGGGTCTCTGCTTTGGCAGGTGGATTCTTTACCATTGAGCCACCAGGGAAGCCCCCCACTCTTACTCCTTATTGTGATTTGGAGCCAACTCTTTCAGAGAAGTCCTGACTTAAGCCCAGAGGGGTGAAACCATACTTAGAATCAAACCCCATACCCGCCAGAGATGCCAGGAGGGCTCAAACAAAACCTTGTGTGCACCAGGACCCAGGGATCCCACTAGAGACTGAGACACCTGCCTTTGAGTGTCTGAGTGCCTCCTGCAGCAGCACGGGTCAGCAGTGACCTGTCATGGGGACAGGGGCTCTGTCTGCAGCAAACGTGGGAGACAGGGTATAGGAGCCCCACCATATAGCCCCCGAACAGATAATCTACAGCCTGGAGGGCACAAACAAACCCTTGTGCCCACCCAGACCCAGGAGAAAGGAGCAGTGACTCCATAAGAGACTGATCCAGGCCGGCTTGTGAGTGTCCAGCAGTCTCCAGTGGAGGCGTGGGTTGACAGTTGCTGCCAAGGGGTTATGGGCACTGAATTAAACAGTTTTGGCATAAGCCCTTTTGGAGGAGGTCACCATTACCACCACTCAGTTCAGTTTAGTTGCTCAGTCATGTACCACTCTTTGCGACCGCATGGACTGCAGCATGCCAGGCCTCCCTGTCCATCACCAACTCCCTGAGCTTGCTCAAACTCATGTCCATCGAGTCGGCGATGCCGATGGAGATCCAACCGTCTCATCCTCTGTCACCCCCTTCTCCTGCCTTCAATCTTTCCCAACATCAGGGTCTTTTCCAATGAGTCAGTTCTTCTCATCAGGTGGCCAAAGTATTGGAGCTTCAGCTTCAGCATCAGTCCTTCCTATGCATATTCAGGACTGATTTCCTTTAGGATTGACTGGTTTGATCTCCCTGCAGTTCCCCTAGTTCTCAGGTCATTGGCCCCAGACTTAGAGTGACATCATCAGCTTACCTAGTTTTCAGCCTGAATCCTCAGTCTGAGATAAACCTCTGTCTTTGCTGGTTCTCTAGTTTATAGACAGTAGACTGAGAGACTTCTCAGCCTCTGGGCAAGCCTATTCCATAGTAAATCTCCTCTAATATATATACAGGTGACCCTGGAAAACACTGGTTTGAAATGCTCAGATTCGCTTACACACAGATGTTTTCCAAGAGTATATATTGTTTTATAGGATCTAGTTGGTGGAATCCAAGGATGTGGAAAAGAAGAAAAGGAAGGCAGAGAATAAATGATACAGGGAATTCAACTGAACAGGGGAGTAGTGTCTCTAATGGACACATTGCTCAACAATCTGTTGCACCCTAGTGGTTACTCAGGAGAACCCTGAGAAATACAGTATCTTACCACAGGCCAGGAGGTCACATTAACCCACAGGTTGTGTTTTGTTACACAACCTGGCATCTGATGTCAAAACATGCTATTATAGTCTTCCATAATAGAGAGAGACAGGAGATTTTATGGAAATAAAAAGACAATTTCTCATTAATATAATGTAACCCTTGAAAGAATATAATTTTTCATGAGGTATAGAAACACTGAAACCATGTTATATGACTCTATGATTTTAGTATTTTGCTAAAGGAAATTATGTAACTTCCCTGGTCAATAGATTAATTCAAGAAGGATCATTATCCACCATGGGTAATAGGTCAGCAAGGCTCAGAAGTGTAGCTTATCTGCAGTGTGGACGGCACCTTCCAGAATTTGGAGCCATGGCTTTTTCAGTAAAACCCTTTCCACCTGCACAAAAAGGTCAATAACTGAAAGTTATGGAG